TGCAGGTGCAGATTGCAGCGGCAGAGACCTGAGCCTGACACTCGCCATAATGGGCAGCAAACAAGTCAACACACCAACACGCACACACACACAAACACTGAGCAAATATGCATATAGCGCACACAGTCAATTAAATTTCAACTGGTATCAAGTGTTAAAGCGCTGAAAAGGCTGTTAAAGGCAGGGCTTAGGACTGGGTGCGGCACGGGGGTAGATTGGGGGGTGGATTGTGGAGGCAGGACATTGGCATTGTTGTACAGCCTGTTCGGCATTTATTTGCACGCGTTTACGCTTTATGCCGCCTTTAAACAATGCGCCGCAGCAATTTGATTAAATTTTGTTGCACTTGAATACAATTTGTAATTCAAATTAAAAGCGCAAATAGTTTTTTTTTGCTTCTGTTGTTGTTGTTTTGTTTTTGCGCTTGCTACAACACAGACCGAGGCAGAGGCAACAAAAGGCATACCAAATTACTGCTGAAGCAAAAGCAACATACAGCTGCAACAACAACAGCAACAGGAAATGAAATGAAACGCAGTCAGTGGAAATGATGCCCAGAGACGCAGGCAAGCAACTCAAAAAACACAAAAAACAAAAATGAAACCAAAAAAAAAAACAAAAAACAGAAAAGCGAACAGAAATAAAAATAAAAATGCCGCAGCATTTGAATGCTGCGTGGCAGAAACAATGTTGCATACCACTTGGGCACTTTGTTAGCAGCCAGCCAGCAGCCAGCAACAGTCATATTGCGGCCACACACACACAAACACACACACACCCTTACATACACATGCGTTCGCAAAAAAGGCGAAAAGTAAAAGCCACACTGGCATTTGGCACAACAACATTTTCAAATTCCGGCAACGAAAGTGCCGTAGCAAAACCCTTAAATGATGATCAGCACGTGTCCAACTGAAATGTTGTCTTAAAGCAAAAGTACATGGCATATGAATATCATATGAGAATGTATTCGCTTCAAATTCTATTATTGCTAAGCCTCATTAGTAAGCATATTGCCTGCTATATGCGAGAGAAATCCTCTGAGACGATTTATTAGTTAAATTAGTTAAATTAGATTTGTTATTGCACCTCATAAGCGCAATTTGTGTTGAATTCAAATGCAGTCTTAACTCTTTTAGTCATATACACACTTTTCTCATCTTCAAAGGCAGTCATAATCCTTTAAAACATATATGCCTTTTTTTTAAAGATTATAAAGCATATAAACCTTTTTCTGTTTACTTTTGAAAACATTTATTCGGTCAATTTGGCTCTGAATCAATTTGTTCCACAGCGAACAAGTACTGCTGCAAGCTCAATTCAATATTCTCTCACATCATTATAATATAACTCTATACTATTGCCAGCAAGCATACGGCAATAAATAAGTTAGTATTTCAATAGATCTCATATTATGTTAAGGGCTCACACAATTACAAATTTTAAATGCTGCTTTTAATTGCCCTGAAAATCCTGAACATTTTTGCTGTTTATGCCCGGAAAAGTTGTCTAACTTTTATGCAAACAAATATTAAAACAAATATTCAACTATCACAGTTACTTCACAAGCTTTGAAATTTGCAACTTTTGTTAAAAATTCTGGTTTTAATTTCGCTTTAGGTACACATGTTAAAATAGACAACGCATAAAGTGTTTATGTCAAGGACTGAATGTACACAAAACGAATATTGTCTGTAGAGGTGTTTGGTAATAGCAACAGTCACACTTACACACTGACACACACGCGCACGCACAACCAAAAAAGGGGCGAAAAGTAAAAGCCACGCAGGCATTTGGCACGAAAAATATTTTAAAATTCCGGCAACGAAAGTGCAGACAAAACTCTTAAATGACGAGCAGCACGTGCCCAAATAAATGGGCAGCATAGTTTGATGTGGCAACCCTACGCGTCTAACACACACACCCACACACGCGCACACACACACACTCGCTCGCATACGTGAAATTGTGCATGTGGCAAATACACGTATGTATTTTGAATGCTGCCACCGCACACTGCCACGCGCCCATTCACATGCGCTTGCGACTCAATTTCGCACAGTGTCCCACAGCGGGATGCCAACTGGATAGCTGCTGTCGCCATTTTGTTTTTTTTTTGTTTTTGGAGGCTTTGTCTAGCGCTGGAATGAAGTCTGCCTGCGTCTTGTCTATTGCTGACTTTCCGATTCGAATGTGTCAAATTGTTGCAGCAGCAGATTGCACTGTCTGCAAGTAGCTCAGCAGAGACATTAGATGCGGATAAGGAAATGGAGCTGCAAAGCGAGGGGACGGAAGTTAGACAAAGAGAGAGAGAGAGAGAGAAAGAGGAGCGGAGAGAGTGGTTACTTATGCAGATGTGACAAGTGCATAAGCCAGCGTATGGAAAATGGCTTATTTATATTGATACATTGCAGAAAATCAATGCCATATGGCATTAGACGACTGACTGAGCAGCATAAACAAGAAATAATTGCAATTTAAACGAAAATAAACGACGATTAAATACCCTACATATAAAGTATAAAGAATATCTGGTTTTGGATAGAACAAATTGAGGCAAACTTTGGCGGCTTGTAATAAATACTTCCGGTTCAAAGGGGCGTATTCCAAGCAAACTTAGTTCCCAGCTGATGCTGTGGGATTAGGCTTGCGTAGGAGTAAAAAGACTTCGTCTTCGCTTGAAGGCTGTCAAAGGATATTTGAATGTGAATTCGGTTGAAAATAACATAATAATTCCTAAAACAGATTTTTTCATTGTTAATTTGGCTGCCTCAAGAGCTCTTATCCTAGAAGTTAGCCGTTTTTATGCAAAATACATTTATATAAAAAGCAAGCTACAATACTTACACATCGGAATCTGACATTTAAACATTCATCACGTTCTCTAAGAAAAGCCAACTACAGAGCACAGCAGAGTTTTATTTTCTGGAATCCTTTATGCAATTGCAAAGTAATTTCCGTGCAACTACGTTCGCACACATATGCATGCATGCATTTTTATTTACCTGCTGAGGCTATATAATTTTGTCAATTTATTTATATATACGTATATATTTTCCGGATCAATACCAAAAACCGAGTCGATAAGACCATGTCCTTCTGACTGTGTCTATGTCAACTAAACTCTCAGTTCTAGGTCTATTTTCATAGGGACGTATTTCTCTTGCAGGCAGTAGATATGTCGAAACCGACCGGATCAGATCACTATATCATATGGTATGGATAAATATTTTATTTGCCACGATATTTTTAAATTCAGCTTTTTCCAGTTTTAATATTCTCACATATCTGCAAAACGGTACGTTTTTTCAAGGGTATACAATTTTCGGCTTGCCGAAGATATCCTCATTTTCTCGTTTTTTTCATAAAACATTTATTAGCCCGAGTATTGTGAAAGAGATTCGCTAGAATTGTTTTTCTCTTTTTTTTTTATTATTATGCGAGTGTATTACGCACAACGTATGACAATAAATGGCAGATAATTAAAGTTGAACAATAATTTTAAATTTATTCACTCATCTTTATTTTTTTCTTGCTGCATCGGTTCATGCAAATAATTTGCATAAAATCAACATTGGCATTTACGAGTGAAATGCATTGTATTTATTTTTTATATGTGTATATATTTAAGGCCGAAAAAAAAATACAACTCTGGCAGAAATATCAAACTTTTTTCAATCGTGTGCCAATAATCAATCAAACGTGAAATAAATGCAAAAAAAAAATATTTATATATATGTATGGAGTAAAATGCAAAATGAATTGTTACTGCTACTGCTGCTGTTGCCTTAATCGAAATGTTTTTTATATTATTTAGTTTGTTTTTTCTTGCGCTGCTCTGGTCGGGCTGGTCTTTAATACGACTTCCTGTGCCATTAAATTTTAGCATAACAAACAAAATAGTTTTCGAGTGTTTCCGTTTGCTTGTTTCGGTGACATTTCGGCGGCAACCGGCGGCAATCCAGCAAAACGAAGCGAAAACTCAGCTGAAAGTGCAGTAAAAAATTTGTTGAAATATGCGACGTCCTATGGGCAGACGGTTAGGCAACAACAAAAATTGCACAAGCTTTTATTTGCACTTCAATTTTGCCCTCGACACGACGGGCGACAGTGGCTGGTGGGTGGGTTGGTGATCGGTGAGGGGCTACGCTCTTTATGGCAATTGCAATCCCCCAGTTGCAGTTTGTTAACTGCACTGCATTGCAATGGCAACTGCGCGACAAGGACTTGTGTGCAATCCCGCCCAAAACCGGGAAGCAAGAGTTCCCGCAAGTCCAAGACAAGTGCCACTTGCAGCTATTTTATTTTTGAATGTCCTTTGCTGCTTATCAGCGTTTAAAATCAGCGACAGAGAGACAGAGAGCGAGAGAGAAGTCTGGCCCAAAAATAAAATTGAGCAAGTCCTGCGCCTGTCCCCGACTTGGGCCGCGACACGAGTGCAGCGCAAAAAGCTGCAGGTGAAATGCACGGAAACGAGCCAAATAAAATCATGTGACACTTTGTGGTTAATAATGTTGTGTGTACATCCAATGTGTTGCGGCCATTGTTTCGCTTGCCCCAAAAAGTAGACCGTGCGGCGGCAGCCCACCAAATAAAGAAAGCCAAACAAAATGAGAAACCAGGACCGAGCGGGGCAACCGCCGGGGCGATGTTGTTGGCGGCGGCGGCGGTGATTTAAATGCAAATTTATTATCATGCAGCCAGCAAAAATAATAAAATACAAACCGAACCCCCATCAACACACACAGGCACACCAATCCCTTGAAAAATAGCATAAATAAATGGCAAAAAATGTTGTAATAATATTTACAAAATGTCTGCTTGCCCCTTTTTTTATTATTATTATATTTATCATATTTTTTAATTTTTTCACATTTTTTTTTTGTGCACCGTTTACAGGTTGCAACAATTTGATGGGCACATTTTAATTTTTGCATTTGCATTTACATTTTGATTAAACGATTTGCATATTCACTTTCATCATTATTAACGCAATTCGATTTGGTTTAAGGCTTACTTTTTATTAAACATTAATTAAGCTAATTAGCAGATGTAACATAATAATTGTTCATTCATTCATTCATTCGCTCGTTTCGTTGGCATCCTCAGTAAATAGAAATCGCACAACATCCGTGATCAGCACGACGCTGCGATGCCGCGCTGCCAGCATTCGATATGCCACACAGGCATAATACCATACCAAGGACATGAGCAGGGCCACCAGGCAGGCGCATGAGTATAGCTCGACGATTCGGTCCCAGCTCATGGTCAGCCTGTAGACGCGTCGTCCCACCTTGGCAATGAAAATGCCAAGGGCGGCTGCAAACACGGGCAGATTGACGCAGATGCTGCGATAGCAAATGGCCAAATGTTTTGACATCTTCGTTTTGTTCGCCGGGTCCATATTGAATTAAAAAACTTTCACAATTTTTAAAATGACAGCCAGGCCTGTCCAGTAGTAGCTGCAGACGCTACGATTTTGACAATTCTAGCCAGGCCAACTGCGTAAACTATCGAGTTTTATCTGCAAAAATCGCTTAATTGCCTTTCTTTCATTGTTTAAACTTTCTGAGAACTGTTTCAATTTTCGTTAAGGTTGCCATTTTGAACAAAGTTATGTTTTCAATTTGAAAAATCAAGTTTGTTTTAAATATTCATAAAAAAATTATTGACTGTTTACATCCCATATGCCTTGTAAACGATCTGGCTATGCTTTAATCTTCGATAGCTTGGTCAAAAGTTATTCAATATAGAGGCTGCCCTTTTTAGCCAGGTTTCGCTCTCGTGCTTGATGTTGCATTTAAATGTTAAATATGCTTTATTTTTGTTAAATATCTGGTCGAAATTCGTGTCAACCGAAGAAACCTTTTTGACCATTGTTTGACTTTTGGTTTTGATTCTCTATTTAAATTTCGAAAAATTATATTTCCATGCTTTCTTATTCGATTTCCTTTTCAGTGGAATATGTCTTGTCTACGCTTCAAGCTCTCGAAACATTGGCAAATTAAACCGAATTAAATAAAGGTCATGTTTGGTCTTGGATCGACGTAAATATTCTGCATTTCCTTGAAAAATTGTTGGCCAAAAAATGTTGAACACGTTTCTAGGTATCAAACTACCACAACTTTAGCTCAAATGAATCAATTTTCATAAGGGATAGCTTTTGGCCCTTTTGTAACCCCTGCACCTTTGCACATGCCAAAATTATTGGACTATAAAAAATTCAAAGCTTTAATTCGTTATAACTCTTTTGAAACTTAACCGATTTAAACATTTTAAAATCCATTGCAACTACCCTTCTTCGGCCGTTTTTTCAAAATCACTATTACCAGCAGTTCAGTTTATGCTACTTTATCTTAGATTTTTATCCCAAATACCTAGCTCTAGCTCATTTTGGACAGTCATTTGGATCGGATATCAAAACTAGTTAATATAATGCAGAACAGCTTCTGGGGTTATGTTTGCCTTTGAGCTGCTGCGACTGGAATGCGAGTTTGAGGCCAAACTCTCATTCTTCATATCGTAAGTCATGCGTTTTATGTCTGTGTGTGTGTGTGTGTGTGTGCACATCGTTGTAAATTCCGGGGCGTATTTCCTGGCGGCCCGTCTTATCTTTGTGGGCAAACTGTTGTTTAAGTTTGCCATTTTTCAACAACTCATCAATCTGTGCTCGATGCCATTGCTTTAGTCGGCCTTGCTCTTCCGGGCTGCCTCTTGAATACTGCCTGGCCGGAAGCGGGCCGGATTTGGTGGGGGGGAGGGGCGTATAGGGAGCGAAACTAACTTATGCGAGGCACGCACTCACCGCAAATGCAGCAGCATCAGTCTTCGTCTGCAGCACCCTGGGCATCATCGAGTGCTCTGTCTGCTAAGCGTATGTTGGGCAAATATGGCAACGTTTTCCTGATTTTCCTTTGCAGTTTCCGACTGGCTCTGGTGTTCCGGGGTTTGGCTTCGCCGCTGACATTTGCCGCTGAAGTTTCACTCAAGAGGCACACACACACGCGCGCATAGCCGCTGTCGCCATTGACGGCAAACTTTTTTATTATGTATTTTGTACTTTTATTATTCATCTATCATCGTTGTTATAGTTTAATAGAAAGTTTAAAAGTCATCAAACGCCAGCGCCAATGACTTGGCCATATGGAACGCGCACATGACACGCCCATAACTCACAATGCCACAGTTTGACAGCCTGAAAGTGAACTCGAACTCGGTGCCCGCCATTAGCCTGAGCCTGGAGGCCGCATTCATTTTGCAGTCCGTTAACGGTCCAGCTGGCCGCCAGCCAAGCAAAAGCCAACTCCTCGCCTTTTTTTTTTTAGATAAACAATGCAATTTACGAGTATGCGGCGAGAGGACGTTTCATTAGCATTGAAGATGCCGTTTTTGAGGTGCCCCAACCGCCCGCACCACCCACCCCGCACCACTGCCAGTCACCGCCACCCGCTGCCAAGTCGTTAGTGTTAATTAACTTGGCGCAGAGGCAAGTGCCAAAAGTCGATGCAGAAGACGTTGCATGCACCCAACTTGTCGTTGCTGTTGTTGTTTTCATTGTGCAACAAACATGTTGCACATAACTCAGGCCGCAAAATTCAATAAAAATGCGTTGCAAGCATCCATGAGACGTTTATGGCCACATCGGCCACGCATGCAAAAACCAAAACAACCGCAAAGTGTTTCTAATAAATTGTGTAGCAACAACTTTGGCTACAACTACAACAAGTGTTTAAATTTATCGCAGCTGCGATTTGCACGCCCCCTCGCATGCATCTATCTGCCACACACTGCTGCTATTTGTGTGTGTGTGGAATAAACAAGTAAAAAATTGCTAAAGCACAAACATTCGCGTTGCCTAAATACCCTGTGGAAATCGGTTTCTAATTGGTATATTATGTATGTTATATACATTAATTAAATTTGTGTAAAAGCTGCCTGTCTACTGCTAGTTGTTGGCCGTAACAGCTTTTACTAAAGCTTTAAAAGCTTATTAATGCATTCTCAGTGCTTAAATTAACACTGCATTCCACGATGCTTCAACAACTAATTAAAGCTTTTAATTAGTAATATTTCCCTTAAAGCTATTCATAATCATTCATTTAGTTTATAAAAGTAGAAAGCTTGACGAAAGCTCGCTAAAGCTTTCAGCACGCTGAATATTTTCCAAGTGCTTTGAACTTTGAAAGCTCATGTTTGCAGCAAGTATAAATTCATAACTTAAATAAATTCCTTGCAGTTCTTATGTGAATGCTTTTAAAGCTCATTAAAGCTTTTGTATTAATTGAGTTTTGGATTTATCACTTTAAAAAGTCCCTCGCTCGAAGCAAATGCTTATTTTACAAAAAATTGTGTAGGTAAAACACACTCTTCACAGCTACAACATACCGATGCTTACTGCCAACATACCTCAATTTAGCTATCGGCTAACAAAGCTCAACAATGTTTTACATGAGCCAAGCCCGAGGGCCACTTTGTGAGCGCGCTGGCCATGGCTGGCGCTGACTAAACAACAGCAACAACAGTTGCCACCAGCAGCAGCAGCAACAGCAGCATCAGCCACAACAGCAGCAAAAGCCACGAAGAGCAATTATGATATCGGCCATGATTTTGTGGGCAATTGGCTTTAACGGCTGGCGGGCCGGGCCGGGCCGGGCCAACAGACAGACAGACGAACCTTACAGACGTTGAGTGTGAGTGAAATTTATTTAAACGCTGCCAAATGGCAAATTCAGTCAATCGGCGGCAACTGTCGCTGCCACTGTACCGTGCTATTTAAATGTAGAACCCACTAATAAATGCGCTGGGCATTTGCCAGCTGCAGATGGGCAAAACAATAAGAAGAAGATGAAGCCTAAGAATCGCCTTGGAACACAAGCCAGCCAAGTTTGAGTTCCTGGCAGCAAACCTCGCGCTCTATACTCCCTCTCTCCTATTTTTTTGCGAAGGAGTACAATTTATTTTTAAATTGCTTATATGATAATCGTTAGCATTAAAAACCTTCGTCTGGCCCTATTTTCCATTTTCAAATCCTTTTCCGTTTTGCCTTTTGCTGTTGCCAAAAAAAAAAAAAAAAATGGAAAAAAAGTGTTGGTGTTGCTTGTATTTATTTATTATTCAAAGTGTTATCGGCGAAGTCAGAGGCTGTGCGCGCCAAAATGAAGGCTGGTTGGCAAAAGAGCTGGCAGCCAAAACCCCAAAGGATTAGTTATGATAAATGTGTTTTATGAGCGTGACACACACAGAGGCCTGAGCCCCGGCTGGGGTCCTGTTCCATTTAATGCACAGATAATGAGTTCCTTTGTTGGCAATATGTCAAATCGCTTGCCCAATATTTTAGCCTCGACACTGCCAAATGGAAATAGGAAAATGTCAAAGGATTCTGATTCGGTTTGCCGTTTGCTCTTTGCCTCTCTCTCGCTCCTCTCCTTGTCTCTCTCTCTTACACTCTCCCACCCACAATTCATTTCTCTTGTTTCGTGCGCGTCGAATCGTGTTAATTGCTGCGGCCCCAAACACCCAAAACGCCCACTCGAAACTGCATGAGATTAGAGCCTACTACATAAATCAAGCAAAGTTACCCATATTAAGCGCCAAACCTTAAGAAGGCCAATCAATTAAAAAGCTTTTCAATTTATTTGCATTTCGCCTCTCTGATCCATGCGTGTGGGAAATCGGACAGCAGGGGTTAAGCCAAAGTTTTACAGCATGTTTGCTATGCCTTGAAAATTTAAATATGTTAAAACTTAAACCCAGAACTAGTTATCTGATGTGGATTAATATCTGCAGCAAATTACTGAAACAGCGAATGCGACAAGAATGACGCGCAATAAATTGTAATCAACGCGTAAACAGTTTGATACTTATAAGCAAGAGTTGCTTGAACAATTTGAGATTTATAAGCAAAAATTGCTTTATAGGATTCTCCAAATATAATCTCAGAAGAAGGTCTAACTGTGAGAGATTTAAAGCCAAAAAATACACCTTGAATTTTACATATACCTTGAAAATTATCAATTTTAATTTCGATGAACCATGTCTATATACATGTGAATTCTTTGTCAAATTTCATCTGATAATTATTTCACACTTTTCGCAAAATCCGCCCCGCTTGTTTAATAAACGCGGGTGAAAAGTTGATTCGGTGAAGTTCTGAATTTCGTCCGAACGGACTCAAACTTGTTTTCAAGGCACAACATTAAAACTTAATACTGGTTTTAGCGATTTTGGAAACTCAACCCGCAGCAATGGAAATTTTGCGGAAAATGTTAAAGTTTTTTGTTTAGCAACGTGAACAATTATCAACGTTTTTCTCAAAATCCTCCGCTCTTGGATGGAAAATGCGGGTCAAAGGAAACTTTATTTTTCGGTTTCAAGTGTCTCACCACTAGACAAAAATTAGCTTTAATAGTTGATTTCAACTCTTTGTTATTAATTAGATGGATTTTAAGCTTATTTTCAAATATCTCTATAAAATTTAACTTAAGACGTGGCGTCAAGTATTACGGGTTGATTTAAATATTTCCCCGGGCGGGAACTGGACACAAAAGTTATAACTAAAATTTGCCCGTGGTACGTATAAAATAAGGCAATTTACCGCTGGTACGTAA